GGACAAGCTTTCGAACTTTGTCGACAGAATTTTCAGTGATAATGTTGCAAAACAGATCCGTCTTTATCTTCACTTGCTTTACGATGTTTGAACTCATGGAACCAACTCACAAAGTTACCTGCACTCATGACATTTCTTGAGTCGGTCTGACTTGTGTACCAAAAGTAGCTTGCAAAATTTTAGAGTTGTACAAAGAGCTTAAAGTCATGTAGAGCTTAAGCTGGAATCCAACGAACGTCCCCGAAGGCTCAGTGGCCTATCACATATGCGGCCAGAGTTTACACTTGTAAATAATCACTTTGTGACAGTTTGTACATTTAATGGTTCGTGGACTGGAAACGCGCCCAAGTACATCCATATGGCCAAAGACCAGGACATGCGCTCGTATCACTAGCGCCAAATCTCGAACATGAACGGGCGACAAGCCGAAGAAGATCCTGTCGATACTTTGATAATTATCTTACCCATCGGAGTTGTGGCGTTAATTGACATCTTGTGTTGATTGTAATCAAAAGAAGGAAAGATTTCGATCAACTGTAAACTGATAAAAGAGAAAATCGATTGCGAACATGGATAGTTCAAATATTCGCGGCCAACGGTGCGAATTGAACTACAAAATGAGAATGCACGTCGAAGACGACCTGGACGATTCTAACTTTGGCCTGCAAACGAGGAATGCACCAATTCCAATTCCAATCAATTCCGATTCTTAGAATTGGTAGGAATTGGCTCGAGTTACCTAAAATTCGTATGGAATCCTAGGAATTGGTATGAAATTGACCTGAAACTAACTAGACTTGGCTTGAGCTGACTAAAGTTGGGATAGAATCCTAAGAATTGTTATAGAATTGGTCTGAAGCTGGCTTGAATTGGATCGCATTGCCTACAATTCGTATGGAATCCTAGGAATTGGTCTGAAACTGGCTCGGATTAGCTTGAGCTGGCTACAATTCTGATGAAATCCTACGGATTGTAGGCGATTCGGCTGAATTCAAGCCAGTTTAAGATCAATTCCTAGGATCCCATACGAATTCTAGGTAACTCAACTGAATTCTAGCCAATTTCACGCAATTTTAGAATAATTATAGCCAATTCTAGACGATATCATGCTGATTCTAGACCAATTCTAACCAATTCTAATTCTAATTCCTACTAATTCCGTCAATTCCAAGCCAAGAATTGGAATTGGAATTAGTGCATCCCTACTACAAACTACGTAGGACAAGAAGCAGTTTGATCTCTCGGTATCTACTGTCAAAGTTTCAAGCGAGGCAGACTTTTCCACCGCTTCTGAAGCAAACTCAAACTATGAGACTAATAAAGACTACAATTGTTCATAATTTAAAAAACTTTTCAATATCAAGATTCGTTATTTATTTTTAAAAATTGACTGGTTTAAATAGTCAAAATGAATGCGTTCGGTTTTCAAAGCAAAAAGTTAATTTTGACCATCGAGTTCTTCCAATTTACGTTTAATACCGCGAACACTATCAAGGCAGAGAGTGAGAAGTTCAAATCCACCCTTAGACTTCACCAGTAAATCATAATCAGGAAGATCTTTGATTACAGTTGTGTTTTTTTTCAGAAAATTAATGCAGGCCTCGAATAAACCATCTAGTCCATGAAGTTTGGCCTTGAGGAGAGCTTCGATGACACAATATTCGTTCATCTTTGCAATCACAAACTTCAATGACTTCATCTTGAGGTCAGGCAAGTTGTACTTGTCAGTAACGGTTATGAGTTCTAGAGCTAGATTAACGTCTGTAACGTTAGAAGTGCCAGTATAGATATAATAAATCATCGCCTCAATAACATCAGGCTTTTGGTCTTCAATTGTTAACGTTCCACTGTTAGCCTCGGACATTCCAGACCCAAGTACAGTGACAAAGTGTGACCAGTGAGTAGATAAGACACATTTGTGGACATTAAAAGATTTGTCGTGGACCTTGATAACAAAGTCACAATGCTTTTGGCTGTCTAGAAGTTTGTGCGAATGCTGAAATGTGTCTAATCTCTGGCCATCGATGTACGAGTCGAACGGAATTGTAATTGTGCAGATGATTAGAACGTCATTTGAAGATATGTTCCGGTACCCAACAGTATACATCGTACTCTCGGAACTTTCAGCGCAGAAATACTGAGTCGTTTGGTTTACTGGGAGACTTGAGCCAATACCAAACGCATACTTTGCAAATAAATTGCCATATGCGCAAAGTACAACTCCAGCACTGTCTCCATGTTTAAGTAAACTAGCATTCTTGGTGTTTTCAACAAGAGGATAAAATTTCATGGTCCAAAATATTTTAGGAAAGAAAGGCATAGAGAACTTGTTCGAGTAAATAACCTCCTCCTTTATGGATTTAAAATCAATGACGTTCCACTTCGCCGTTAAAGTGTTACTTGTGCCGTCAAACGTTGTTGTCAGTGTTCCAGTCTGTTACAAAAGTAGACATTAGCATTTAAGTTTTAACTCAAGTTTATTTTTCTCACCATCGATAACCAATCGGTTAAAAAGTCTATAATGAATATTTTATGTATTCAAAAAGACTCGGCAAAACACCAAGAACCCTTATCTTATTCTTTGGCAATGGTATAGTATGTTTTTAGTATCACATCAGTCATTCGCAGAAAGAGAAAAAAGCCGATTGACGCACATGCTTTTGTTCTTTTTTTTTTGCGGAAAGTCGATGTCTTTGCATACAGCATACTTGAATAGCAGCCTTCACTTGCAGAGTAAATATTTGATAAGAGAATAGAGAATGGCGCATTTTCTTGGCTTTCATCAGTGAGTTTTTTCCAACTTACAAGAGAGATAACACAAGGTCAATACAAAGGTGTCATAACGCTGAATCAACAAGCGTTGGCATCCATGTGATGACTTTTGAGAAGCTTTGATGTAAGCAAATTTCTTTAGCATTGTTAGGTAGCATAACCAAGAGCAGTACGATTATACACTCTGAAATATCTTCTACATTAAAAAAATATAGGTTCCATACGAAACCTGCAGCGCTTCGTACAAGGTCTCGAAATCGTGCTACTTTTTTTTGCCCAGTCTGTACGGTGGGCCAAGGCTGTTCGTGCCCTCTCGGTCCGACCAAGCCCGACTCACGAAGGAACATCTCCAGGTGAAGATCCGCTTTTGACATGATATTTTACCCATATGTAGGCCTAAATGCGACTAGTGTAGTCCTAGAAGGGTTTCGGTTTCTGACCTTTTCTTCGAAAGTTACCGCCATTTTACTAATTTTTTAGGCTTACGGTGAATATTTCTAGTATAATGAAGTGATGCAATTTCGAGCTGAAATTTTGTCCATAAGCAGTTCTGGTAACAGGTAGAGTAATCCGATAGTTTTAGCTAGAACAGAAGCTCCCTTCTCAAGATATCGAACTTATGATATGATCGATTTTTGTGGGGCACCCATAACTTGTAGCTAATTTTCTTCAACTAAATACCTTAACACATTCACCATGACGAGTCCCACCGATGGGATCCGCTATTCTCTGATAACGGGTGACTGATAACGACTGACAGAACTTTGTATTTCGTATTATAATCTCTAAAGATGTTTTATTATGAAAGCAAAATATACTAAAAGACTCAGCGTGAAAAGCTCTACACTTTGAAAAGTGAAGTTTGTGGGTGTTGGGTGTGGATGTGGGTGTGGATTTTCTGTTCATTCACACCCACACCCTTCTTATCAACTTATACTAAAACTGGGTTGACCGTGGATATGGTCGATTATTGGATTAATGGCCAAAAGTGAGTAACTTTGTAAATAGCTGTTTGCTTCAAAACTTCGATCGAAATCCCATGAAAATAGTATCAAAGTGTTAATTTTAACATGCCCTTTTGAATGATATACGGTTCATTAGGGCTGCCCTGGAAAAGTCCTAATGCGCCGATTTGGCCTCTTATGCGCCTCGTCCTTTAGGCATACAAATCTTTGTAGAGTTATTGAAGTCTTGTACTTCCATTATTATGTGCAAAAGATAAGCTCAAGAACGATAGGATCCTTGGAAAGTGTGTCTATAATTCCCTGTATATATTTCATAGGAAATGTGTTCAGATGGCCGCTGCTGATTTGAACAAGCAAATGCAATTCCAGTGTGATGAGGTTGCCTACGAACCAGTCGGGCGGCGATTACCACCTATCCACGGCTATGAACATTTGCCGCTTCTGTCACTAGAAGAAGCTGTTGGATCAGTTGGTCACATAATTGATAACATCAATGAAGTAGTCACCTTCGTCAAATCTATTGGTTTGATGCAAAAGTCTCCGCCGATTTTTTAAAAATTTTCTTAAAGCCCTCTAGCGCTACTATGCATTCGTGATTTTCATACATATGATACCGCTTGTGTCGTACTATAGGATGACATTGGTAAATGTCCCAGTTTATTTACATTCTTCATTAAAACATGTCAGAGATTCCTATTCATATCCGACACTGCATTTTGTATGAGTTCCAATTAGGGAACAATGCAAGTGCTGCTGCCCGCAATATATGTGCTGCACTTGGTGAAGGTGCTGTTGCTGATCGAACGTGTCGTGATTGGTTTAAAATATTTCGTGAAGGTGATATGTCATTAGAAGATCGTCCGAGATCTGGACGTCCTATCGAATCTGAAATTGAACGATTAAAAGTCCTGATCGAAGACAATCCATGATTAACCACCCGTGAATTGTCAGCAATACTCGGGTGCAACCAATCCACCATCAATCGCCATTTGCATGAAATGGGAAAAGTTAATAAACTTGGAACATGGGTTCCACATCAACAAACCTCGGACAACATACAGCAGAGAATCACCATATGCAATTCTTTGTTGTCAAAATGCAACCGACATAGATTTCTTCAGCAGATAGTCACTGGTGATGAAAAGTGGGTTCTATATGTCAACCATACGCGCAAGCGGCAGTGGGTAAATCCTGAAAATTTGCCCGAACCAGAACCAAAAAACGACCTGCACCCAGAAAAGGTGATGCTATCGATTTGGTGGGATTACGAAGGGATCATCTACTGGGAACTTCTACCTCCTAATACTACGATAGACTCGAAGCTTTACTGCTAACAGCTTCAAAATTTGAAGGTTGCTCTACAGGCAAATCGTCCAGAAAGACGAAAAATTCGATTGCTTCATGATAATGCAAAACCTCATGTCTCAAAAGTTACCCGCCAGAAGCTGGAAGAATTAGAGTGGGAGATCTTACCCCATCCACCATATTCACCAGATTTGGCACCATCCGACTATCATCTGTTTCGATCGCTTCGCAATCATCTGGTCAAAAAACACTTCAATGATCAAGCCCACCTAAAATCGGACCTCGAAACTTTTTTTTTTGTCTTTGTCTAAGAAATTCTTTGAAGATGATATTCTGGATTTGCCTAAAAGATGGGAATATGTAGTAGATAACAACGGTGTATATGTTGCTGATTGATGATATTTTGTTTCAATAAAATTTTGAAATCGAGAAGAAGGAAAAAATCGTCGGAGACTTTTGCATCAACCCGATAGTAGCAACCGCCCATCAATTCCCCCTGTTATCAATAACAGCGATCTACTGACTCATCCTGCTGCTCAGGCATCGAATACTGTTAGGAAACTATGCGAAATACGTTAAGGAAACCTGAGCACCGAAGCGGTCATACGTAAGGGACATCCAAACAGGGACACAATGAGCAGTCAGGCGACAAAATGGCTCTGCTTGAAATCTGATTTTCTCAGTAATGTGACTTACAAAAAAGTTGAAGGGTGTGAGTGTGGGTGTGGGCGGGTGTGAGTAACTTGTGAAAGAAGATTCACGCCCTCACCCACACCCCCACACCCACCCACAGCCACAGCCACACCCACACCCACACCCACACCCACACCCTCTCTATCGTTCCATACGAAAAGAAACTTTCCTTCAGCTTACTACAAGGCATTAAAGCGTCACTCTCATTACTTTTGAACTGACCTAAGTATTTATTGAAGTTTATTTTTGTTTTATGAATGTCACCAATAAAAAAAACAAACAGAACGTTATAAATTAAGCTTTCTCGGAACAACATTAAAAAAATTCCGATTATAGCTAGGAGAACAAATTCAATGTTTTTATGCATCAGTTATTATAGTTTCATTGTAAGCAGAATTTTTCGTTGAACCCTGTTGTAATGAATCAGTTAATTGTGTACTTGCAATTGCAACTCTAAAAAATCACAATAAAATGACAAACAATCTTAATCGAAAAAATCAAAATAGCGGTTTTTTTTCATTAAAACCTAGCTGCACGCTTTTTTGAAGAAAAATAGATATATCCAACAACAATTAAAGTAATAACAGCAAGTCCACCAAAAACTCCACCCAAAATAGCACCCACTAGGAATATTTAAATGAAATAATTAAATAAGTATAAAGGATATTTTGCTTACAATTATTCTTTGTTGGTGATACTTTATTTTCACATTGTGCACCATTAAAACCAGGTTTACATCTTAAAGAAAATTTTTATCAATGAAGAAATATAAATATTCATTTAAGAAAATAAACTTACTCGCACTTTGGTTTATCAAAGTCTATTGATTTACAAATACCACCATTCTGGCAGGAACATGCTAATTATAATACAAAAAATTAGACTATTTTTTTTCTTTAAAACAAGAAAAATAACCTTACCAGCATAAGTAGTTGTAGTTATTTGAGCGGTGTCAGTTGTTGCCGTTGGTACTTCTATAGATGCAGTTGTAGTCATTCTAATGGTTGTTGTTAGTGGACGTGTATAAGGCGTTGTTGTAGGTACGTGGGTAGATGGATCAGCATCTGATGGTGTTAAAATACATGGATTTTCAAAAATATGAAGATCATCAATAGCTGCATGTCCTTGATATGATATACCTAAATAACAACAAAAAAGAACATATTTTATAAATAGAATTCAAAAAAAATAATAAATAATTTCTTTATTACCAATGACACCTTCAATTTGTAATCGATAATATGAAGTTGAACGAATTGTAACTTGACCATTTAACCATTGATCACCTTTATTTCCTTTTTGCGCCCTAAAATAAATGATAATTACCCAGGCGAGCAAAAAATAAGGGGTGACGCCCGACATGACTAGTCTAAATTGTCCGTAGTACTTGTCTGGACTAGTCTAAAATGTCTACATTGCCGTTTGGACTAGTCTGAAATGATTTGCAGCTAGTCAGGACTAGTCGTCTTCACGAGCAACGTCTTGCATCTAAAACAGACTAGTCCAAAACATGCTCTAATCTTGTCATGGCTAGTCCGTTTTGTATGTGCATACTGTCCAGACGCGTCAACTTGAAGGCAAAAGCTAGAAGAAACGGAGGCGATAGGTGGATTCGAGCATTCAAGCCGACAATATTGGATACCTGACTAGTCTAGACTGTTTTCAATAGGTAACGCGGACTAGTATCAAGAGTCATCTATATTGGTCATGACTAGTCGTTTTCGAGAAAGTAATGCCAATTCTGGTCCAGGCTAGTCTATCCTTCCAAACAGTCTTTATTGCTTGGACTTAATCATTCGGACAATTCGTTTAGACTAGTTTGTATTGGGACTAGAACGATGTATCTAACGAGAGTTGGCTATTTATGTCCTTTTAAATTTTTACATTGTAATAACAATGAAGAATAATTTTATTCGAAAAATTAATTTTAATGCATTGATATGAGAATATTATTTTATTTCAATATAAAACCTAATGATTTGAATTTAAAAAGGGATTTAAACGGTAGAATCATAGTTCATTTTCAAATTTAAATAGGAAATATTTTAAATTAAGATAAACATAAACCATGAGATGAAAAGCGAGATTTTTTTTGAAATGTATATTATTATTTTGATTTTGATTTAAATTTGAATTGTTTTTTCCAATAGAAAATAATTTTTTCCATATGTCGATAATCAAAAAAAAATTCTGTTGAAGGAAATTAAAAAAATTTTGAATTAATTTTGCTTAGCTTTATTTAACTAATTTTCGATTTTATTACAAGTAGTTTCTATAAATATTAAAACTTGAGAAAACGCTGAGTCAAACTGTAGTAATTAGTGTCTTCAGATGTGTATTGACATGTAAAAGTTGATCACTAGATCATATGGCTCAATCGGGTAGACGACGAGTAAGTAACACAAGGTATGCATGAACGAATCTAACTTTCTGCACATATTTCTATCATTCAGACTAGTCCGAACTAGACCGCTACATAAGACTGAAACCTAATAGATGTCGCGTCATAAGCGCTCTGCCTTTTTTAATTTAAAATCTATTTTCGGACGAGATGCCCCGACGGGGTTAAAGATTCCAAACCATTTTGGACTAGTCATGTAGTAGGACTTTTTGAGAAAAAGACTAGACATGACGCATAGTCACGACTAGAAAAATGACTAGTCTTTTTACCCGTCCTTTGCTCGCCTGGGTAAATAGATTCTAAAATAAATTTATTTTTAAAATTTTCATACCAAATCCATAACGGTGTTGTAGATTTAACACCATTGATATAAACATTCAATCCACCAATATTTCCATACATATGATACCAAAATGATAAACAAGAGCCAATTGATGATGTTGGCATAAGTATAGTTGATTCAAGTATAGCACGATCATTAGTTCGTCTTGGTGATGATGCTTCAATAAAAGCATAATAGCCAAATCCATCATTATATGTATGATCAATTGATGGTCCAGTAAATGCTGAATCTGTTTTACCTCTATCGACAAGCCAATCAAAATCATCTAATGATGAACGAACATTATGCCATGTACAAAAATCAACTGATTCAAATGAACATGAACCTAATGTTGGACAATTTCCATTTCGTATAGATACATCATCAATAGCTAAATCACCAACAGATCCAATACCATATTCACTTTCAAATGCAATAGCCCATGCTTCATCAGTTTTTTCTATTGTGATTTCAGCTGCATTCCATGTATCATTAAAATTATAATTAACTTTCCACATTGGATATAGTTCATCTGATAATGTACGTCTATAAACTGTTAATGAACCTACATCAGCACCATAACTATGATACCAAAATGAAAGACATTGTCCATTTGTATTATTCATCCATGGAGATATTAATCGAGCTTTTTCACCTTGACGATTTGAATTAGCACTTGGAACATACATATAATAACCTATGTAAAAAATAATAAAAAAAAAAATTTTCGAGTAATTTATTCTTACCACTACTAGTCATTGTACTATGATCAAAACTTGGTCCACTCAATATACCAGGTGTTGCTGCTAGAAAATAACATTTTTCCTGACACAAAAACAATCATCAATTAACAAACCTTTATGTCTTATCCATTGGTGTTTTTCTGTTAGATCATGTTGAAAACCACATAAACTTTCATCATCAAAATCACATTCAAATGGTAAATCATTAGGACAATTACCATCAATTAATTGAAGATTATCTAAAGTAATATCACCTTGAAAACTTGAACCAGCAACACCTTGAAGGATAATCTAATAGAATAAAATATTTTCAATATGACTTTTTTAAAACAAAAAAAAAAAAACGTTTCACATACATTATACATATCTGTGATATCGTGTAATTTAACTTTTCCTAAACGCCAAACATTTCCTTGAGGTCCTTCACGAGACCAAACAGTTGTTTCAACATTTGATGAATCAACAATTAATACATCTAAACGATTTATATCAGGTCCATACATATGATACCAAAATTGAAAACATTTTGTTGTTGAACCAGCAATTGATGGTGATTGTAAACGTGCTGTATCATTAAGTTTAACAGAAGAAGGTGTTTCAAGATAAATATACCAGCTTTGATCTAAAAAGAAAAATAAATCAATAGATAATTTTAAAAATCTTTTTATTTTATAAAATTTACTTGTTTGTGTTGTTACATTGAATTGAGGACCAGTTCCAGCTGTTGCCGTACTACCTTGAGTGCGAGTCCAATTAAGAACTCCATCAGCAAGACGAGTCCATGAACAAAAATCAACTTCAAATGTACAATCATAAATACTTGGAACTATTGAAGATTTTTTGAAAAAAAAGTTCATTATTTGAAAATATTCATTTTGAAATTTGATTAAATCAACAAACTTTGAAATGGTGTTGTTGGTTGAGTTATTGTTTGTGGTGTTGTTAAAGCAGTGACAGTTGCATTTGTTGGATTTATTCCACAAAAATTATCACGAATATCGATATCATCGATAGCATAATAACCATGCATTTGCGAAGTAACACTTCCTTCGATGACAATCTATACAAAGAAACAATAAATTATTAAAATTTTTATAAGAAAAAAAAAAATAAACAAAATTATTTTACATTGTAATCTTCATCTATATAATAGCCAACCGATGCGAATTTCCATGATTCACCTTGATCTATAGTACCAAGTGACCAAATCATGTATCTATTTTGTAAAGTTGTGATATTGACATCAACACGACCTAATTGATTACCACGTATGACATACCAGAATGTTAAACAACGACCAGCACGTGAAGTTGGTGGAAATGTTTCACTTTGAACAACAGCAACTACGGATTTTTGATTGGTGAATGATGAACTTAAGAAGAGATATTGACCTTGATCACTTCCTAATAAATATATATATATATATATATATATATCTAGATAATGTTTTCTTTGTCTTATTATCCCAAAGATATTCAAACCTATGGTGTGATCATTTTGAGGTCCATTATAAGGTGGTTTTGCTGAACCAGAACCAATCATCCAACTAACATTTCCAACAAGAAACATACTACGCCATGTACACATTCTAGAAAAGAAAATGATTTATAAGAGAGAAATAAATCTTCATTTAATATAATTACCCATTTTCAAAATCACAATCGCCTGGTTCAAGACAAGCTCGATCACGAATGAAAACATCATCAATAGCAATAATTGGTGAATTGGCATCTGATTTATAAATTGTACTTTCAAAAATAATTTGATATGGTGTTAAACTAAGACCATGTGGAATACGTTGTTGTGAAATACGCCAATGACGATCCTTAAAAAAATTAAAAATTTTTTCTTCTTCATCTTTCATATATAAAACAACTTACTTGAAGAATATCTGTTGACCAAATTAAATAACCAGATGTATTTGTTAATTGTGTACTTGTTCGTACAAATAAATTTAATCTTGATGCACTACTAAGTGCTTCAGCATCTGTATAATACCAAAATTCAACACATTGTTCTCCATTAGGAACTATAACTGGTGAAATAAGACGTGCTCGTTGATTAGTTACATTTGATGATGATTTAGATATATCAACAAGCATATATGCACCATTACTTGTTCCATCTGTATGATCAATTGATGGTTTAAAACCACTTGCCAATGGATCATTACCAGTTGTACGTGTCCAATTATATTGTGTTTCAACATCATTTATATAATTACATAGAGATGGATCTTCAAATGTACATAAACGATCTTCATTTGGACATGATACATAAACAACAATATCATCAAGAGCAATGTCACCAAGACCATATCTATATTGTCAATAAGGAATTGCAATGAATAAAACTTAAAGAAAACTTACTGTCCAACAACACCTTCGAATACAATTTGAAATTTAGTATTTTCTGGAGGAAATATTGCATATTGTCCTTTTAACCATTGATTGCCTAATAAAAGAAAAGAGAATAAATAAATAAATAAAAATAAAAGAAATTTATATTATATGAAAGAAAAACTAACCTTGATTTCTTGTTCGTGTCCAAACTGGTTTACCAAGTTGACCATTAATTTTAATATAAACATTCAATGTATTAACATCCATACCATACATATGATACCAGAATTGTAAACATTTTTGTCCTTGAATTTCTGCTGATATAATACGAGAACGTTGATTATATTTTTGTGGATAACTAGCTTCCATATAAATATACCAACCATTAGGTGTGCCATATGTATGATCTATAAAACGAAAAAATAGTTTTCTATAAAATAATTAAGTTTCTAATTATTTCTACAAACCAACACTAGGTCCAGTATTAAGTGTTGGTGTTTGACCTTGTTTTAATTCCCATCGAAAATCAGCTGTTACATCATGTGCCCATGTTGGACAAAGAACACTTTGTTCAAAGTTACAATCCCATGGTGATTGTGGTGCTATTGTTGTTTGACGTGTAGTTGTTGTTAATAATGTTGATGGAAGTGTTGTTCCAATCGTTGGTACTGAATCATTCATTGGTCGAATTGAACAATTACTTGTTGTAAATGTGAAATCATCAATTGAAATATCTCCCTAAATAAAAAAGAAAAATTTCAAATTAAAATAAAAAGTAAAAAAGATGAATTTAGATTCTTACCAAATAATCTTTTCCAGCAATACCTTCGACAATAATTTGATGTGGAACCATTGAAACATATGAGACTTGTCCTTCATACCATTGATTACCACGATTACCTGATAACGACCATATATGTGTATATGAACCATCGAAAAGATAAACATTTAATGTTCCAATTGAATCACCATACCTAATCGAAAAAAAAAACTATCAATAATCGATTCTATCAAAAGATCTAAACTTACATATGATACCAAAATCGAAAACATTTAGCATCTCCATTTGTTCCATCAAAAACAACACTATGTAAACGTGCACGATCACCTGGCTTTGTTGGCCATGATGTTTCAATCATTAAATATTTTCCTTGTGCTGTATTTGTTGTATGATCTATTCGAAAGAAGAAAAGCAAAAAATTATCAAAATCAATCTAATATATATATTTCTATCATACCATATTGTGGTCCAGTTCCAAATGAAAGTATACCTTGTCCAATAAGCCAATCCATATCAGCATCAATATCATTAGTTGTCCAACCACATAAATCATCTTCAAATGTACAATCACCCGGTTTTGGACATAAACCTCTGGTAATCGAGACATCATCAATAGCAATACTAACATCTGGATTTTGTGTTAAAACTTGTCCTTCAAATACTGCTTGCCAAGACTGACTAGGATTCTGAATATTGATTTGTGTATATAACCAACGATTATCAAAATTACTATCGAAAATCCAAGAATATGGACCCGGTGGAGATAAGTAAACCTTTAATTGCATCTTTTGTGTTGATGCATATAGAAAATACCAAAAATGTAAACATGAACCAGCTGTACGATCTTGAACTGGTGTTAAAAGTAATGCACGATCATTAGCATTACGATTTTTTCCTCCAGCTAACATATAATAACCTGTATCAGTTTGTGTTGTATGATCAACATTTGGATGAAGACCTTGTTGAACAGCAGATGCTAAACTACGTGTCCAATTAAACTCTCCTGTTGAATCATATTGAAATCCTAGAAAAGAAATTTTTTAAAGATTATTATAAAATACTTTTCTTTTTCTCTCAACATACCACAAATTGAATCATCCGAATCAAAATCACATTGATTAGTTGTTGTTTGACATGTACCATTAAGAAGTGTAATATCATCAATAGCAATTAAACCACGATTATCTGCTGACCATGTTCCTTCAATAACAATCTAGACAAGAAAAAAAAAGATTTAATACAAAAGTTTTTTTCTAAAAAACGAAAATAAAAAGAAAACAAACATTAAATTGTGTTGGATCGCTTGCGGGTGATTGAAGATTAACTTGTGCATGATACCATTCATAACCTTTTCCACCTTTTGTTGTCCATCGTACTTGAGAAAGTGAACCAGAAACCTTTTGAACACTTAATATACCAACATTTGGACCATAGATGAAATACCAAAATTCTAAACATTGACGATTATTATTTATTGTTGTACTTCGAAGTTGACTTGAGATATTATTCTACAATGAACAAAGGAACCCATTTCCAAAATGAAAAAACCAATATGATTTCGTATTTTTTTCTCGTTACATTAGGAAATGGTATTGATTTATTTAATTGAAGTAAAAGATAATATCCATTTGACTGATTTATTGTATGATCATATGGTGGATTACGTTCATCTTGTTGTGATGCTATTGTAGCTTGAACTCGTATCCAACTAAGTTCAAATTTAGATACTATACTCCATGATGAACATGTATCACTTTCAAAATCACAATCATAAACTGTTAATGGACGTGGTGAAGTTGTTCTAAATTAAAAAACAAACAAAGAAAATTAAAATTTATATTATTAAGACAAAATAAAGTTAAATTTTTCAACTGACATTCCCGTTGTTATCACTGGTGTTATCGTTGTTGTTAAGCTATCAATTGGTGTAGCATGTGTTGGAAATATTGGACAATATCCATTTGTTATTGACAAATCATCAATAGCAATATTACCTTCATCATTTCGAGTTATTTTGGCTTCAATTAATATTGAATGATCTGAATTTACAATAAAACCAACTTTTCCTTGAAACCAACTATCTGCTTGTTCACCAGATAATGTCCACATCGGTATTGGTTGAAAACCTTCTTTTTGTAAATAAACTGTCAATGTACCAATACCTTCACCATACCTAAAAAGAAAAATTTTAAATCAAGTTTTTTTCTTCTATTAAAATATAAAATCTGATGCTAAACAAAAAAAGAAACTCATTCAAACTCAAGTATATACGATTTTTTTTTGATAGTATAAACAACATATTAATTTCTTTCGATATTTACATATGATAGAAAAATTCAAAACACATTCCATTTGAACTAGTATCCGTCATTGAATGTGAAATAAGTACAGCTGTATCATTAAGTTTTCGCTGTCTATTTGTATCAATAAATCCATATGAACCATCGTCTGTTCCAAGTGTATGATCAGATAATGGACCTATAAAAAAAATAGCAAAATAAAAGTTTTAGATCATGTTTGGTTTCAATCTGTTATTTTTTTACCACTAAGAAATGTACTTGATGATGGACCACTTGTTATTTCCCAATCAAATTGATCAGTTTTTTTAACATTTTCCCATCCACAAAATGTATCACCTTCAAAATCACAATTATTTGGTTCTTTACACGATACAGCTAAACGTTCGATATCATCAATAGAAATATCACCCTGAAAATTTAAAAAAATTCCATTAAAAACAAAAAGGATAAGCCTAAATTTCAATATTTTGAACTTACTTCAATGCCGTTACCAACAATACCTTCAAATATAACACTAAATGGTACTGTATATTCAGTTGAAATATGTGCTTTACGCCATACATCACCAACATTAGCACCACGTGACCAAACAAGTATACGTGTATCATTATTCGATGTATTCGTACTCACATAAACATTTAATTGACCAATATTTCTACCGTACATATGATACCAAAATTGTAAACAACGACCATTTTGGGGTTGTTCAACAATTGATATTAATCGTGCTTTATTACCAGGTCTTTGTGGCAATGATGATTCTAGAAAAAATAAAACATTTATTATTTTGAACAATAATCAAAAAATTTTCTACATACCAATAAACATAAAATGACCTTGTGCCGTACCAAGTGTATGATCTAAAATATTAAAAATGTTCTAATAAAATAGAGGAAAAAAAAGAATTAATTGTTACCTTCAGTAGCACCAGTAGATGCAGTTGGTGTTGATCCTTGTCCTTTAGTCCATGCTAATTGTCCAGTTGGATCAGATGAATATCCACAGATATGTTCTTCTTCAAATGTACAACTTATTGAATAAAAATCTGGTTTAATACAAGCACCATCAAGAAGTGTAACATCATCTAGTGAAACTGCTGATCGAATACTCCACATAGCAACAACTTCATAAACAACACGTGTGATACTATCTCCTGGTTCAATTTGTATTTGACCATGTTGCCAATGACGTCCTTGATCACCTGATCGTCTCCAAACAGATTGTGTTGAAGTAAAATTTTCATTGAAAATCAAATAAACATTTAATTCAGTATCATCTGTACCATGCATCATATACCACCATTTAGCACACATTGGACCTGGTACATTATTTGGTAAAAGTGGACTAACTAAAACTGATATATCAATATCTGAAAACGTAACTACAGGAATTGGTAATCTTGTTGTAACATAATAACCAGTTGAATTTCCATATGTATGATCAGTTAATGGACCAACAATACCAGCAAGATCATTCGAACTAGGTTGTTCACGAAACCAATCGAGAGTAGTATTTTGACCTTGTGTCCATCGACACATATCTTGTTCAAATGTACAATCATAACCAGCAACAGCTTTTGTTGTAAATGATGAAATTATTTGAGAATTTGAAGATTTGACAGCTTGAAAAAGAAAAGGGAAATCAAATTCGATTCTATTTACATAGATAAAATATATTTACTTGGAGTTAAACGTTTAGTACTTGATTTTTTTAATGCTAAAACAAATAAGTATGATAAAACTATGTACATACATAGAACATAATAAATCTTACTTGAAGGAGGACGTGCTTGATGAGTAATTAAAATATTTTTCAATTGGATTTGTCCATTGTTTGTTAATTGTCCATCGAATGCAATAAGAGTTGCCATTCGTAATGAACTAGCTGATGATGATGAAATATTCAATTGAATATGAATATCACTAAATAAATGTCAAAATTTTCTTTTTACATAGATCAAAAATAATCTTTTTCAAACCTTTGTCCTGAACGTAATCGACTACTCCAAATAGTTCGATTATGAGCAAAAACAGACAATCTATCTGATTTATCATCCGTTATTTGATAATCAAAAGTGAGACAAGATGGCGAATTTCGTGAAGATAAATATCCAGTGCCTAATAGACGGGCATTGTATCGTTTGGATGATTGTAGATTTTCTTTATCACTCGAATATTTCAGAACAAATGATCGTTTGCCTATAAAAAAGAAATAAATCATAATAATCAAATCCTATTTTAAATAATTACTCGTTGTTGTAGAGAGGGATTCATGCCATTCTAAATTCTGATTATTGCCTGGATCATTTCTCCAACTTGGATCTATATAAGAAAATTACTTTTGTATTCTTTAAAAAAAAGAATTTTATACTACTGACCTTCATTGGGAATATTTGATTGAGCTGCAATAAACGAAAAAAAATTCAACAATAGTTTTTCGAGAAAATACATTTCTTTTTTCTGATAAAACTTACTCGCAATACCAATAAGGCATAGAGTAAGGAACAAGAACACAAAACGGTTCATGATCCTTGTTTTTTAAACAATTTCTCGCATACAAAATTATATGTTTCTAAAACAGAAAATAATATGCATTTAGATTTTTACTTCAAACTCTCTGTACGTCCATCTTCATTTTGAATAATTTACACATGCTTCAAAAAAAGAAAGTATCTTATCTTTTTTATTTGTTACTTTTTCAGTAGTAGATAGAGGCGATAACTCTCTCTCTCTCTCTTCTTTTAACGAAGGAGAGAGAAAGATTTCAAAGCAGTACAGAGACAGAAAAGTAGAAGGATCATTTTTGTCAAGATAATTTTTTTTCATATAACCATAAACATGAGGAGTGTAGGTGTGGGGTGGGGATAGATGTGGGTGTGTGTTACTGAAGAGACGGTCCACACTCAGTGATTCACGGAAGTCATCAATTCAAATCGAAAATATTCATATTCATCTGGCTTCCAATATTTTTGATCCAGCAGAGAATTTTGTCAGTCGAATTATTTACTTATGTGATAATAAAAATGATTATAGATTAAATAATGTGTGCATAGCCAAAGTGGCAGTATTTACATTAGGACGATGGAAATGAATCCTCGAGAATACACCCGAACGAAAAAGACTCAGAGATTATGTGCACGGCACATTATTTTTTTCGATATTTGGCTACCGGAAAAAGATGAGATGCAACTAGGGATGGCACTTTATCTTTACTTTATCAAGTAAAGTAAAGTTGGGTTACTTTACTTTACTGGATAAAATAAAGTAATCCTACTTTACTTTACCGGATAAAGTAAAGTTGATCTACTTTACTTTATCGAGTAAAGTAAAGTAAATATACTTTACCCGAAAAGTAAAGTAAAGTAAAGTGAAGTATCTCTAACTTTATCGAACAAGCAAAATATAGTAAAATAAGATTAAGAAAAGCATGTAGTTGATGGTTATTCATTTCTTAGTTTATTATCATACATTAATCACACTTTAATATGTCAAAAGTTGCGTGAAATTACGGATGAGAAGCCCCAAATTGTTTAAACCTGATTTTATTACT